TTATGATGTGTTTTGAAAGTGTAGAGAGATGAATATGCTTTCTGGTGATGTGATTTTATAATAATATTCTGAATGTCTGTTCTCATTGTTTCGGGTTGTGGAGAAAGATCCATGTTGAGGAAGGAACTGTGTGTTGCAAGGCTGTGCTGTTTTGAGGAATAACTGGAGAGTGAATCAAAACTACTTTGCCCTGCCTCGGGGAACCAGAGTTACCTCTAGGGACCAGAAACAAGTGCAAGCTACTGCATTTCGTAGTCAGTGGAATAGAAAAAATACAATGAGTACAACATGAGAACAAGAGGAATAAGGAAAGAGGAGAACATGAAAACAAGATCAATTTGATGGGTTTTGTCTTGCAGTGAACCTACAAACTGACAGCTAGCTAAGACAGTCATTGTTGCTGTGGAAATATATTACAGAAACAATTGTCTACTGTAACTGGACTATGGTGGACGAAGGGTGAAGAGAAATATGCTACTTCTTTTTTTTGACATATGTTGCAAAATGGTTGGGTACTAATAAGGTAGCCCCTACTATTTATTTTCTGTTTTGTATTGGAGAAAGTTTTCTTATTTATATTTCTTTAATATTACTCATAAACTATCACAAAACAGAAGCTAAGCCTCTTTTATAAGTGGCAGATATATATATCAGAGTGTTGCTTGGGTTAGAGTGTGGATCAAATTCAGTGTATATGATTTCAGGTCTATAAACTTATACATATCTTGGTTTAGAACTAGTTGGAAACAGGAATACAAAATATTACTGTACTTAGTCTTCAAATCAGAAACATCTTGACTGACATTTCCTCTCAGGGGATGTAAGTTTCCAGAATTTCAGCCAAACTTACTTTGACAGGTAGTGAAGAGGGAATGGAGAAAAATTTGTGTACTTTGCGACTGCATATTCTGATCAAGGATTACACAATCATGCTCTAAGTGGGCTGTCTGCCCTCTTGATTATAGGAGATGTGATAGGCCTTAGAGAAGGTGAGAGGTGAATAAATGTAGAACCCTGCGTTCCACATATTTCTTCAGTTGAAATCTGCATCAATTCATAATCTATTTGATATGATAATTATTATGGAACACTGCAAGTTTTGCCCTATTCCATGTTACCAATATTTACATTTGAAGGAAAGTTTTGCTCTATCAGCCAGCTGGACTGAGAGGTTAAAATGATTATTAAGACATTCATAAGCTGTGGGAACCCATTAATGTTTCCTTTCTGGAAGGGCGTTTTAGATAGCATCACTAAGATAGGAACAGCAGTTATGCTTCAGAACACCTCATTATGGATTTTAGGAGATCCTGGAGCTTTTTATTACCTCTTGGGGAAGTCCAATAGGTACAGTGTTACTCATACAATTGTTGTAAAAGGTCATTGTAAACTGGTGCAAATCCCAAACTTTCTTGAAAATGTGTCATGGAAATTTAAAAGTAAACTTAAAATTTCTGATTGAATTCCTACAGGACATTATTTGTCAAAAGTTATCAAAGACTAAACTAAAGATTTTCTTGAGCAATGTCAATCATAAAGAAGTGAGCTGGTGATAAAGAGTTCCTGAGAAAATGAAATTGCATGGCACTAGTTAGATGATTTAAATCATGGCCAACAATCTCCCAGGTAAAATTAATTGGTCATTCACTTCATGGCTGTTTGTGATACATTGCAATCCGCAAAATTGGCTGCCGTGTCAGCCTACAAAACACAGTCACTATACGTTACAGTAAGTCCTGTGAATGCTTTGAGAGTGAAAGTAATACCATTTAACATAAAAGGGAATAATCCTTGCATTTAACATATCTTTCTTTTCGGGTTAAATGCAAGAATTAGTATTACATTATATTAATATTATGAGCATATCCAAGACACAATTATCCTTTGATCTTGAACTCATAACATTTTGGGGAAAATAATGAAGAAAGAAAATGCTGGAAATGCACAGCAGATTGATCAACATTTGAGAAAGAAACCCAGTTTTGATGAAGGCTCACCCTGAAATTTTAAACTGGTTTTGATGTTATGAATTGATTCATAGTACATTTTTTCTTTGTTTTTATTTCTGATTCTCAAAATTAGCAGTCTTTGTAATTCTGCTGCTTACATTATATGGACACAAAAGAAAATAATTTTAGACCCAGTTAGAAAACACTTTTTTGAACAGAAGTTGATTGGAATATAGAATTTGATCAACAGTATTTGTTTTGTTACAAGTGGGGGATTTGGGGCTCAAAATTATTCCTAGCCACAGGTGCAACATTTTGACCCTGCTCCACCAGATACTGGTCTAAAATTAAGATTATTTCAAAATTAATTACAATTAACTTCATGGCTGTTTGTGGGACATATCTGTGCACAAAATGGCTGCCACAACACACACAATCACTTCACTATACAACGTATCCTGTGAAGTGCTGTGGGACATCCTTCTGGCATAAAGGGCACTATTTACAATGAGTATTATTTATTATTCTAAAATTAAAACTTAAAACACTCTTCTGTGGCCTGGAATAACATCAATTGCAATGATTGTTAATAAAAAATATGAAGATGTTCTGATTCTGAAAATACACAAGGGAGAAACTATTCTTCACTTTCCCAATAAATTAGAGTCATAAAATAATGGCCAATGGCTTTATGTAATTAATGATAGAAGGTTAGAGCCACTTTTACCCAAACCCGTCAGATACATTTTTATTCTCTGGATTTCCTTATTTCTGAAAAATGTTCCCACATGCACATTTAAGTTCCGTATTATTAACAACAGGCTAATTTTCTTAGTTGCAAACAATAGAGCTCATTGTATAAAATATGCTCTCAGTATATTTTATTTATTAGAATGGTTTATGCAAATATAGCATGTAGCTGATAGAGGTTGATCCCATTAAACATTAGAGCGGCAATGGAGCTGTGTTCACTGAAGGCTGCTGGTAACTATTTGAAGCATTAGTGCCAATGTTTTGTCAGGTGTGAGTGCCTCACTGTAGGTCCAGGCTGTGTAACCATAGTGTTCAAGTGCCAGCCCAAGAGTACATGCTGCTACATACACAAACCTTTGCTTCCATTATTCAAGTATGTTCATAGTTATACTTTGGATTATAATTTGTTCATATTTCCATTATTTTTCTGGTTTCGTAGATTATATTAATTTGTTATCAATTGCTTCATTTTGTGCTTTTTGTAAAGCATTTTCTTTCCAACAAAATATTCAGTTAAATTGTACCAAAAACATTTTTGTTGTGTTTAGAAAAGCTGAATATTTACCAACTCAAGCAAATGATTTTAAACAAGATAAAGATTTGTACCTTAACCTTTTGCTGTTATTTTCATTTTATTTAACGCAGATTATAATAACAGATTTAAGCCACTCTACTCTAGGATGTTGTGATTTTGGATGTGGAGTTCAAACAAAAGACATCCCTAGTATCATTAAAGTAAAAGACATTAATAATTCCAAGTTTTGAAATTTAATTTAAGGTGATGATAGCAAATTTACTGAAATAATTTAATTTCCATTGATTGAATGTAGATTTTTCTATTAGGAAGTGCTTTGAGTTCTACAAGTGATGTTTACTTTTTTTATTTATTTTTACCTAATTTTATAAGAGGTGCATATATAACATATTTTATGGTAGTCTGATTAATATTTTTACATTCATCAAACTATAAGTATATGTTATAAGGCAATTTTGTCAAAAAGTGAAAGTATAACAATACTGTTTTGTCAATGTGGCAATAACAATATAAAACTGGGCTTACGGTTTCTTCCTGGTTTCACATCCATTGCTGAAGCAATGTGAAACTGATAATTGTATTTTTCTAGCCTTTGTAGACTTAGGGAACAAGGTGAGGAGAAGGATTCCATCCCCAGTCCATTCAATGTAATACATGTCACATGGACTGCAAATCTATTTAAAGCTTATCAATACGTTTTAGGATAAAAGATAAGATATTCCCTTGGCCTCCTCTTCTGCAATCTCTTATAATTACAGCTATCGGTTTAGTTGTCCTTCACTATACACTCACATTGCCAGGATATCTGCTGCAGCACAATGACTGTACTGAATTGTAGATTGTGCTTCACATTAGGTTGGTGATGTATTCTACTTTCTGTGACTTATGCTCTATTTCCTTAGCTAGATATTCAAGAGTCTGTTTACTCTCTTTAGTGCTGCAGTGCACTGAATGATTGTTTCAGCAATTACCAGTATTTCCCCTCCCAATTCCCTCTCTGTGTTGTGCCCTCTAGATTAGCACTACTTATCTAGTATTGTCAGTGTTTGTTCTACACTCCCAAATTCATCACTCTGTAATTTATCCACATCTAATGACATTTGCTGCTTGTCAGCCCACCTCCCTATCTATTCAAATTCTTCTGTATTGGCCAATCTGTTCTGTGTTGATTGAATCTTCCCAGTTTGCAAGCAATAAAAAACATTTGATAGCTTTGTTTCTGTAGTTCAGTAAATGTGTTTTTAGAGTAGCTCGGATATTATCAAATTCACAAGGCAGCTTTGGATAGTGTAGGTTCTAATGCACAGATCAGGCTTAAAGTGTTCTGGCTTTCTTTAGTAACCAAATATAACGCCAGGTGCATCGCTAACTGTCAAGCAACTGGAATTAGAATCCTATATTTAGTTGTTTACACACAAAATGTTCAGTTTGAAGTCTGACAATTTCTCAAAATGTTCAGCTATATGCCCATGTTAATCGGTGTGTTAAAATATTTGCATAATTCTCACAAAGAAACACATAAGGAGTCCAAGTCCTTAGCTCCTCTCAATTTGGATGCTGTTCTACACAAGTAGCCTTTTTTGGAAAGGACATGGAATTTGACAAAATTAGAGTTGGTTTCTTCACAAAATAGTATTCAATGTTCATAACTGTCCCCTTGTTCACAGCAGATTACTTTAATTAGCTTCATATAAAGGATTTGATCGGATTCTCTGAAGCAAGTTTAAAACAAAACAGCAATTTATGTTATTTTTCTTTTGCAGAATATTGGCAAGTGCAGGAAAAGAGCTGAAGGATAATTTCCTGATAGAACTGGCACAGAGAGAGGAACCCAACCGTGTCGGGAAAATGACTGTGAGTGCATAACCAAGTATATAACCTGCTTGTAGATTTTTATTGGTGGAAAATGTACAAGGATTGATTTATACTCCCAACAGTGGCAGTCAGTCAGGGAGTTGTGTGTGAATATTGGAGTTTCCCTTGGAGACCAAAACAGTGCTTTCTACAGTTGAAAAGTATATCATATGTCATGTAATTGTCTTTAAGAGCTATCATAGTTTAGACCATTTCACAACGATGTGCAGGATGGTTCAGGTATGTTCAGTGAGCACTATTAACCCTTGAAGGATTTATAACAGCATTTTTACATTAAAAAAACTCTATAATATTTCCCTACATGTTCAAAGTATTCTGTAAGTGAAAACAAAAGTTTATCCTCACATGTACTTAAATTTTAATCAAAAGACTTTTCACACATATACTTTTGGAACCATTACTTCATACAAAATGTATTTTTCCTTTAGCGTTCGTAATACACCCAATGTTAATAAAGGAATGATTTTTTTGTATGTGTTATTTTTAAGTTCCTTCATTTCATTTTTTTCACTGTTAGAGTTGCAGAGAATACCACCCACCTACTAGTAGCTACTCCAGTTGCTTGATATAGTACAATAACTGCAGTCATAATTCTGTAAATCAAATCCTTTTAATTTCAGACATGAAATTGATGGATTGAGAAGTCTGCGCGCTGCATATTGTGTAGGAACACTGATGCTAAAAGAGTTTGAATTAGAACTGTGCTTAAAAAAAATGGATTTTGATTGGAAAAACAAACAACAAAAAAAGTGATGGCCTTCCTATACCTGGACCTGAGGGATTTATAATTACAAGATCAAATATGGCCCAGAGAAGGGATACTGGAACTTGTGGACACATATTTTCCCACTGAATGTTGACTATGTAAACAGATTCATGCATAAGCCATTCTAACTTTTAGACTTATGTTATTGAAGTTGGTATAAAAGAACTGGTTACAACTTGTTCCTTTTCAAGGCTATTCAAAGAAACCACTGTAGCTGACATAGAAAACAGTGAATTAAGCAACTTCTAATGTACCTCTTCCTGTGTTTAAAACCTGCGGAAGAAAATATAGCACAGTATATGACTAACAATATTGTGCTGACAGCCTCCTTTTTTCCTTAACTATTTTCCAAGTCTTCTGAAGTGTTTCCTTTGATGAAAAAAGGCTGATTGTAGGAATGTTTATTTCATTTTCAATTAACCCAAATTTGCCCCCATTTAATAAACCCACTACTGGAAAAAGTATGAGTCATACAGGTAATCTCATTTAAATGTTTGACAATTCTCATTTTGTGCAAACTCCACAAAGTATATCAAATCTTATTTACACAGGCAGCGAGGTGGTGGGCTGTCTTTAACCACTTCACTACCAGAACCCAAGGGAACTTTATTTTCCATGTTTGCTTAATTTTTGGTTTTCTTTAAGCTTTCCAATTCAAGTATTTAGTTTGTGACTCAGTGGAACTTTATAGCTTCTATTTTGGTTCCATTAGTATTTTAATTGTCAAAAAAACATGCAGATAAATTAGTATGATATAAACCCTCCTTTTCATTGATTGAAGAAGGGAATGCAAAAGGATACCTGGATAGTGATACTAAAAGAAGGGAAGAGGAAATACCACCTTCCAATGTTAATGGGTATCCTAGTGGTATAAAATGCTGGTATCTCATAATGGGAGTATAGATTGTGGTGGAACATATCATGCAAGTAATAGCGAGTGCTGAATTTGTGCAAGAGTTTCTCATCTTACAAGATGTTAAGCATGAGGAGGGAGATTCTTTTCTGGGTCAACAGGAGAAACGGAAGATCAGATGGCAACTCAACACAAATATCTGCTTGGCTCAGTCCACAGCTCTCTTTCCTGTGGTCAGAAGATTGTGGGTTTAAGTTGCATGTCGGAACTTGAGCTCACAGGCTCCGCTGACATTCCAGTGCAATAATGGGGAAGTGCTGCATTGCTCGACGTGCCATTCCTCAGATGAGTTGCTAAATAAAATCCCTTCTGCCCGTTTATGTAGCCATTAAATATCCCATGATACTATTTGAAAAGAGAACTAGTTTCTCCTAGCCAACAATTCTCCAGATAATATTGGTCATTCACCTCATGTTATGTGCAAAATATCTGCTAGCAAAATCAATCACTACATATTTGGCAGTAATTAACTACAAAGTACTTTGAGACGCTTCAATGTTATAGATGCTTTTGAGTACAAATTCTTTCTTTCTAGTAGTCTTGGTGCAGAACAGTATATACATGGAGAACAGATGGCATTCCCTTCCAAGCAATGTATGCATCACAGGAAGACCAGAAGAAAGGAGAAAATAGCACCATAGGTCATGAATCAACTGAAGCTAACAGGGCAGGGTTTTTTGCACCTGATTATTACTTAGCAAGCCCTGTGTTTGAACATAGGATTGGAGTGGTTTCAGTTGTGGGAACCGGAATCAATTACGAGAGCCAGCATCATACTCTGCCTAAAACAGCAGAAAGGAGAACATTGAAGTGAGAAAAAGAATACTATAAATTAAAAACAGTTGCAAAAAGTAACCACATTGACGCACAAACATGAACCAACATGGCATATTTAAGCCTGTTCCTTGCTGTTTCAGGCATTGACTTGCTGGGGGAGCCTGAGAGTGTAGTGGTAATACATATTTAACAATAGAGCCTGGAAATTGTACAGTTCTAATATAGAGCATAAGGAGATTTGAACAGTTTGAGTAAATGGCAGACAGAATAATAATAATCCCTGCATTTGATATAGCGCCTTATCACCATATTAAAAACATAGTTTTATTAAAAGTACTCATTGTCCAGCGCCTTGGGACGTCCTCCCGATGTGAAAGGCACTATACAAATGTAATTTTGTTGTTGTTGTTATCACGAGACGTCTCAAAGCGCTTCACAGAATATGTTGTAAAGTGAATTGACTTTAAATTTTGTGGGCGAAACGTGGCAGCCAATTGCACACGGCAGTGTCCCACAAACAGTCATGGATTGAGTTACCAATTTTTTTAAGGGGATTATTTACCACCTGGAAAAGCGATCCGCCAATCGACTAACAACCGGGTTCCTACGTACTGCTAGGTTAACAGAGGAGTGTGGAGTAAGAAAGCTTGCCCAACGTTTTGTCCTGCCTGGGACTCAAATCCAGGTCATGTGAGGCAAGTACCCTAACAACTTTACAGATCTCCACATCTACAGGAATCTGCTATGTATAAGTGTATATAGCAGATTCATAAGACAGGTGCATGTAGAATCCTGTAGCTTTTTTATGACATTAATCATAAAAAAAAATGACTGATGTCAACACTAAACTTATCCACTTGTTCTCCGGGTGGACGTTTTGAATGTGTCTTTGTCTCTGAATAGTTAAGCGAGCCCTATATGTTGGCTAGTCTTTATTACTCCTTAGACTGCAGCTTTGAGAAATTGGGGGACTGAAGGTCAAAATTATTAAAATGCTCATTGGTAGCAGCAATTAATTTTCCACAATAGAGAAAGGAGGTATGCTGAAATCTAGCTGTAAATATGGTTTCATTGTACCTAGCATCAAAGTATGTCATACTATTCATTTCAAACCAGCTGTATTTTTCCTTAATGATCCTTCTAAATGCTGCCTTTAATGCATTAAAGAACCATCTTCACAGATGGTTTCCACGCGTGCCTCACTTAACAGCCCATTTGTTAATTTCTGTAACTGAGACAATCTGGTGACAGAGAAACTGCTTTACTTGGACTGTTGCCATTGAAAGTCTTCATTCCAAGACTCTCTTCTGCTTTCTTCTAAAGTAATAATTCACATTAAAAAAAGTCTTTGTGTTTGTCATCACATGGAAGACAAAATGGTGTTTTTCTTTCACTTTAAATATGAATCTGCAGAAAGAAATATTGTCAGGATGCAACGTACTGAAAGATGAGTTAAATAACCAAATATGTACTCTGATCTCAATGTAAAATTAAATTACAATGAACAATTTTACTGCTATCTTGGAAAAGTGAACAAAACTGAAGATATCTTTTCCCCTCTCCTGAGCTACTGGAAAATCTATCTTTGGTGTGTCATTTAAGTGGGAAGCCCTGGGGTATAGACATTTTTCTACATAATAATCTTTGTATTGATATTCAGGCTTTCACATCAGAAGGACGACTGAAAGTGCTCCACAGATATACTGAAAAATGGAATGACTGTATGTTGTATGTAAGCACAGCAACCAATTTGTGGACAGCAATGTCCAACAAATAGATGAAGTGAATGACTGATTTAATTTAGGGGATTGTTGGCCAGACATTGGGAGAAATTTCCTTCTCTTTTCAAATAGTGTCATGGTATCTTTAGTATTCATCTCAACAAGCAGACGGGCTTTAATTTAATGTCTCATTTGAAGGACGGGACACCCAACCTTGCGGCATAGCCCACCACTGCATTGGAGAGTCAGCCTAGAGTACATGGGTTCCAAGTTCCAACATAGGCTTGAACCTGTAACCTTCTGACTCAGAGAGTACATGGGTCCTATCAACAATTATCTGTGTTGGAATTGAAAGAGTGGCACTACTTGGTTCTAATATTTTTTCTTCATTCTGTGCTGAATTTTGTTACGAATTGACTCCCATATAAGGTTGTATGAGATTACACTACTTACCTTGGTGTATCTTCAAGGAACTTTATTTATCTTTGTTTATATTTGCAAAATCATCAAATTGCTACAAAACTCTTGTTGGAGTTACCTAAGCACAAGAGATCTATTCTCCATTCACATTTTTATAAGTTGCTATATGTTTTTTCACACAGCTAGTTGTTCAGATCTGGAATGCACTGCCTGAAAGGGTGGTTACAGCCGATTCGATAACAACTTTTAAGAAAGAAGTAGATAATTATTTGGGGAGGACAAGTTTGCAGGGCTATGGGGAGAGAGCGGGGGAGTGGGATTGAATTGGATAGCTCTTTTCAAAGAGCCGGTACAGACACGATGGGCCGAATGGCCTCCTTCT